GTTGTGGACTGTAGTCGGGAGGGCGTCGGTTTCTCCGCCACAACGCCGCAGACAGTCAGACGCCTTAAAGATACAGCGTCCGTTTTCATATGATCCAGAGTAGAACCAGGACCAATGCAGTCAGTTGGATTGGAGACGGCGGGACCAGTAGAGTAGGCAGAACGAAGAGACACAAATCAGTGTTGCGTGGCGTGGCGGGGCCGGGCGGCGCTTCAAGATAACAGAAGCCGGCCACACAGGGGTCAGTGGCAGGAGAAAGATAGACTCCCTTTACTACGCCGTAAAAACCCGATGCGTGAAGATGACTATGTTCAAAACACTCGTCTTGTTTCACAATTGTCAAGTCAGAGTCCTCTGTAGCTCAATTGGTAGAGCATGGCGCTTGGTCCTCTGTAGCTCAGCTGGTAGAGCACGGCGCTTGGTCCTCTGTAGCTCAGCTGGTAGAGCACGGCGCTTGTAACGCCAGGGTACTGGGTTCGATCCCCGGGACCACCAATACGTAAAAATGTATGCACACATGACTGTAAGTCGCTTTGGATAAAAGCGTCTGCTAAATGACATATTATAATATGGGTTACTTTGAATTTATAAAATAACCATTCCCCAATGTCCTTATAATTTATAGAAACTAAACCACTGAGTCGAATCTTAAACATTGCCAAGCCTGACACAAACCTTTCACCCAGCCATAAAACTCCCAGTTATTTGTTATTGTAGTCGTTATCGGGAGCAGTTCCAGCCCCTGCGGTGCTCTTTATTCTGACCTAGATGTTCCCCTGACACCGCTTGTGACACAAGGTCATATATCATAGCTTATTGTTCTATTGTAGAGGAAGGTAGGCATGTTGATTTGACTATCTAACAACTCAGTGTGAGCCAGATCCATCCAGGAGTTGGCATAACGTCTGGTTGAACCCACTTATAACAGCAATCATTTATACCTTAACATCGTTTATAACAGCACATGGATTTTTTGGGACATCATTACTGGGATGAATTGTGTATGTCTCCACCTACTGGAAGGATACAGTACTGCCATCGACAGAGAGACTGCTAGAAAATAATAGAGAAACACTCCCTCCCCGCGCTCATAAAACACTAGCTACTACTCATTTCACATTTTTGTCATTTAGCAGACGCTCTTATCCAGAGCGATTTAGGGTTAAGTGCCTTGCTTAAGGGCACCTCGACTGTTTTTTCACCTAGGGATTAGAACCAGCGACCTTTCGGTTACTGGCACAACGCTCTTAACCACTAAGCTACCTGTCACCCCACACATAGCTATTGTCACTCATCCACATCGCTGCGGCCAAACGCCAAGCCCACTAGCGTTTATTGTACGGAGGTTTTAGGTTTTATTTATTCGCACCAAAGAAAAGAAGTGAAAGACAAAACGATTTAAAAAAAACAGATAAAAACAGTGTTCAGGTGAGGCTGGAAGCCCAAAAGGGCTGATATGAAAACCACACCACAAACATAAGTACAAAAAACGTTAAAAAAAAAAGTTTGTTCAATCAGTTAAACAAATCATATTAATTATGATTGTACATTATATACTTACTATACAAGAAAAAACATGTTTGATTATGTGTGTGTGAGAGTTTGGCTTCATTGACGGCAGGTAGCTTAGTGGTTAAGAGTGTTGTGTGCCAGTAACTGAAAGGTCACTGGTTCTAATCCCCGAGCCGACTAGGTGAAAAATCTGTCAATGTGCCCTTGAGCAAGGCACGTAACCCTAATTGCTCCTGTAAGTCGCGCTGGATAAGAGCGTCTGCTAAATGACAAAACAAAAAAGGCTGACCCCCAGTCTTCATGGAGAGGATTCCTGGGTAGTTTGGTTCATCAGGCTGACCCCCAGCCTTCATGGAGGGGATTACTAGGTAGTTTGGTTCATCAGGCTGACCCCCAGTCTTCGCTTGAAGTTATTGCGGGATGTTGAGGTTTTGGCAATGTGAAGATGAGCATGGTACCTCTGTATTTGATAGAGAATTGACTATATGAGGTGCGGGGAGGGTGAAGGTTATCGCAGTGTCTAGTGTTATATAAATGGATTTCAGAATTAACCTGGAAGAATCCATTGAAGGGTTTATGTATTTGTAGATGAAAGTGCATAATTGGCAAAGTGGAGCGATTAATAAAATGCTATATAACAACGGTTTGGCAATAAGACATAAAAAAAAGGTTGAGATGACACTAAGAAACTACCAAGACAATATTTGAATTCACAACCAATAAAATGTATTCAATTATATATTACAAATATGTACATGTCATGTAACAAGTAAATATTAAAATAGACATTTTTAGAACTATCGTTCAAAAGGCATTATGTTGAAAAAATAGGTTTTGTTGTGATCTCACATTGAAACTGTACAAGTGTTTTTTTCTTCTCCTAATTCTATAGAAGAATTCTGCCACAACAAAATTGTTATTTTTTAAATTTGTGCGAGACACAACACCAAAAGGACAACACACAGGAGGACGAGGAGCTGTTGAGAGCTGTCCCAAATGGCACCCTATTCCCTATATAGTGCACTACTTTAGACCAGGACCCAATGGCACCCTATTCCCTATATAGTGCACTACTTTAGACCAGGACCCAATGGCACCCTATTCCCTATATAGTGCACTACTTTAGACCAGGACCCAATGGCACCCTATTCCCTATATAGTGCACTACTTTAGACCAGAGAATGGCACCCTATTCCCTATATAGTGCACTACTTTTGACCAGGACCCAATGGCACCCTATTCCCTATATAGTGCACTACTTTTGACCAGGGCCCGCATAGTGCACTACCAGAACTGCCAACCAGAGGGGGTCAGTCAACTCCCCCCTCAGGAAATTGGAACATTTTGCAATTTTTTTTTTTTAAACCTGTAACTGCCATTTCCTGAAACCTAGTCTTAAATTATTTCAAACCATGTTTCCAACACAGAAGTCTTGCGTTTGCTCTTAAATGAAATTGAGGTGGTCTCAATGACACATTTTTTCCTAGGTTAAATTTAGGGGTAATGGTTATTCTAATTAAATAGGAGTATTTTATGTTAATAGTCAGTAAAAATGTAAACTGGCTTCTTCATTGGTGAACTGCACTATTATGACATCATTAGCAGCTTACTGTTGACATACAGTAGTTATATGAAGAGGACAGATGAACAACTGGTTCATTAACATAGACTGTTAAAAGATTAGCAGGCTAACATAGCTTTCTGTGAAGGAAGGTATCAGGCGGAACAGCTCTCTGCCATGTCTGTTTCCATCTACACAGCAACACGCACTAAACTACGGCAACACGCACTGACCTACAGCAACACAGCACGTTTCCTTGCTCACGCCTACTCCCGTTGCGGATATAAAATGTGTGGGCAAGAAAGTGTTCTCGCTTAGTAGACTAAACGCTGTAGCTAACTACCTTCGACGTAATGACCCCCTTAGCTAAGGAGCTAACGACAAAATAAGTTATGCGCTTGACTAACACATACAATTTTGGAAAATGTATTTGGCAAACAGTTCGTTCTCCAGTTTCCCTGGAGTGGAGAGCTGCCAACCAGCTGGAGGGAGGAAAATAGTAATAATAATAATAATAATAATAATAATAATAAGCCATTTATCAGACACTTTCATCCAAAGCGACTTACAGTCATGCGTGCATACACTTTTTACGTATGGGTGGTCCCGGGGATCGAACCCACTACCCTGGCGTACATATTTTAGGGTCGTTTTTCATACCAGAGTACTTTGACCTCAGATTTCGTGCATGGTACGCAAAATGCACGCAGGTCGGCAGGTCTGCACAACTTTTGACAAGAGCCTGCATTTAGGGTCCTGGTCAAAAGTAGTGCACTATATAGGGAAAAGGGTGCCATTTCGGATACAAACTTTGTTTGTGAAAAGACAGAACAAACGAAGGGAAAGAGCTTCAGTTAAACCTCAAATCACAACAGTCCACGGTACAGCTTATTCTGACAGTACAACCCTGCAACGGCAACCAAATCACCAGTGAAAGAATGAACACCTTGATTTGGTGTATGGATCCAACTCCAGTCTAGAGGTGAATAAAAAGCAAAAAACAAACCAAAGGAACAACAGAATCAGATCCGACATCAACAATAACAACAACATTGACTTCAACAACAACAACAACAACAACGACCTTGACAGAGAGAAAGAGGAAACGGACTCAATAAAAACCAACTCCGGTCCATTAAAACAGACAAAAAATGAAATAAAAATGTTTTACAATCAAAATATCTATTAGTTATTTTTTCTGTACAAGTTTGAAACCATCATTACATGGGTAATTTACAAATGCACAATCTGTATGTAGAAAATAAGTTAAGAAACATGAAAAGCACAAGTCTGTACATTATGTATTGAACGCAGAATTGAAATGTTTTTTTCCGTTGTTTTGGAATAGGGTACCATTTTTGGGACAGACCCTATAGCGTCCATGCTTGGTCTCTCTCTGGAGTTCTCTCCTCTCAGCAGACCGCAGCACCTTGCGCTGCCCCATCCCTAACCCAGCCTCGGGCCCTGGCCCCTGGGGTAAGTGTGTGGTCTGGGCCCTGTCCAGAACAGAATAAGCAGTCTGTCTGTCAGTCAGAGGAAAAGGCCAGTCCTCTTGGTGTAGGGGGAGGAGTTATTTGTGGTGTCTTTGTTGTCTACCATAAGAGCTCAGTAGTAAAACAGCCAGATTTAGAATAGTGCTGCTCTCTCTCTCTCTCTCTCTCTCGCTCTCTCTCTCACACTAGTGGCTCTCTCTCTCTCTCTCTCTCTCTCTCACACACACACTAGTGCTGCTCTCTCTCTCTCACACTAGTGGCTCTCTCTCTCTCACACACGAGTGGCGCTCTCTCCCTCTCACACTAGTGGTTCTCTCTCTCTCACACACTAGTGGCTCTCTCTCTCACACACACACACACACACACACACACACACACACACACTAGTGGCTCTCTCTCACACTAGTGGTTCTCTCTCTCTCACACACACACTAGTGGCGCTCTCTCACACACTAGTGGCGCTCTCTGTTCCAAGTGCTTCCTGTTTTTCTTTCCTTCTTCTCCTGACTTGATTCCTTCTAACGTTTGACCCCTCCATCCCACCATCTCTTCATCCCTGTTAGAGGTAGATGGCCACTAGATGATCCTTCTGCCTGACCCTGACCGTGGGTCGTAGCCTAAAGGTCAAGGGTCACAGGTCATATGGGCGTGAGGTCAAAGTCGTCGTTGACCTCTACCAGGGGGATGTAGAACTCGGGTATGTCGAAGATGGAGGTGGACTTGTACATGGCTGGATCCAGCTCCTGGAGTTTCAGCTGCCAGTGGAGACGCTGCACAGCATTTAGAGCTGCTGCCTCGTGCTGCTGCCGCATCAGCAAACACGTCTGGAGAGAGAGAGGGGGGGGGGGGGGAGAGAGGGAGAGAGGGCGAGAGAGAGAGGGGGGGAGGGGGGGAGAGGGAGAGTGAGGGGGGAGGGGGAGAGATTGGGGGGGGAGAGTGAGGGGGGAGAGGGGAGACGAGAGGGAGGGGGGGGGAGAGGAGAGAGAGGGGGAGAGAGAGGGGGGGAGAGGTGAGGGGGAGAGAGGGGGGGAGAGAGGAGAGAGGGTGGCAGAGGGGAGGAGAGGGAGGAGGGGGGGAGGAGAGAGGAGAGAGGGGGGAGAGGAGAGGAGAGAGGGAGGGGGAGAGAGAGAGAGTGCGGGAGGATGAGAGAGAGGAGGGGGAGAGAGAGAGAGGTGAGGGAGAGGACGAGGAGAGGGAGGGGGAGAGAGAGAGGAGGGGAGGAGGGGGGAGGAGAGTGAGGGGGGAGGAGAGGGAGGGGGGAGGGGGGCGAGAGAGGAGGAGAGGGAGGGGGGGAGAGGGGGAGAGAGAGGGAGGGGGGGGGGGAGAGAGAGAGAGAGGGGGGGAGAGAGAGAGAGAGAGGGGGGAGAGAGAGGAGAGGGGGGGAGAGAGAGAGAGAGAGGGGGGGGAGGGAGAGAGAGGGAGGGGGGGGAGAGAGAGAGGGGGGGAGAGAGAGAGGAGACAGAGAGACAGAGAGAGAGAGACAGAGAGACAGAGAGAGAGAGAGACAGAGAGAGACAGAGAGAGAGAGACAGAGACAGAGAGAGAGAGAGAGAATACATCAAATATTAAATCAAACAATTGGGTGACACTCTGGATATGTTTGATTTGCTAAATGAATACATTTCAAATTTGAGGTCATTTCTGAAATATTCAAGAGTTAAGTGGTTATATAGGATGAATGAAAGTCATGAACATCCATGCCATGCTCAAAATCTACTTCCAGGTTGCAGGTACTACGGATAACATTTTTCACACATTTACAGAGAGAAATCTCACCTTGAGTTTATCAAACTTGTCGTCCACATCTTGCAACCAGGACATAAACTGGCGTGCGTTGAAACGATCCCTCACCGACGTCTTGCCATCTTGGTCACCCTGGAAACCAAACAAACACACAAAATGTAAACACCATCAGCACAACGTTATTCAGAACTGTCAGTATATTAAAACTGGTAGTTCGAGTTCTGTTAAAACCATCATGATAAAAGCAACTGCTGAATTACTCAAATGGAAACGCCAACTGCTGTAAAAATGATTTATACATACATTTGATTAGTTGATTGATGCCAACTTATCCATTCTACAGTACACATTATACATTTGAAATTAATGTGATCGACGCCAACTTACTGATTCTACAGTGCGTGACATCATGCCACTTGCCTGGGCATCCTGAGGCATGTTGTACACCTCGGCGTCCAATAGCACGGTGCATGCACTGAACGGGAGTGTCTGATTGGCTAGCGTTCTGGCAGCCCGGTAGTGGACTCGTAACACCTCCTGCTCGTTGGAAACTATCAACTTTTCCTGGAAGGAAAAAAAAAGGGGGAGTTGGGTTAGACTAGAATATATAGACAGAAGTGTTATAATTCATAAGGTTGAAGGGAGAGTTGGGTTAGACTAGAATATATAGACAGAAGTGGTATCATTCATAAGGTCGAAGGGGGAGTTGGGTTAGAATATATAGACATAAGTGTTATAATTCATAAGGTTGAAGGGAGAGTTGGGTTAGACTAGAATATATAGACAGAAGTGTTATAATTCATAAGGATGAAGGGAGAGTTGGGTTAGACTATATAGACAGAAGTGTTATTATTCATAAGGTTGAAGGGGGAGTTGGGTTAGACCAGAATATATAGACAGAAGTGTTATAATTCATAAGGATGAAGGGAGAGTTGGGTTAGAATATAGACAGAAGTGTTATTATTCATAAGGTTGAAGGGGGAGTTGGGTTAGACTAGAATATATAGACAGAAGTGTTATAATTCATAAGGTTGAAGGGGGAGTTGGGTTAGACCAGAATATATAGACAGAAGTGTTATAATTCACAAGGTCGAAGGGGGAGTTGGGTTAGACTAGAATATATAGACAGAAGTGTTGTAATTCATAAGGATGAAGGGAGAGTTGGGTTAGAATATACAGACAGAAGTGTTATTATTCATAAGGATGAAGGTTGAGTTGGGTTAGACTAGAATATATAGACAGAAGTGTTATTATTCATAAGGTTGAAGGGGGAGTTGGGTTAGACTAGAATATATAGAGAGAAGTGTTATAATTCATAAGGTTGAAGGGGGGGTTGGGTTTAATAGATGAGAGAGAACAAAGCAGAGAAAAACACTAAGAATATCAAAGTAAAGCATCTCCTTGTATTTGTAATGAGAAACAATATTTAAAGGAACAGTGTTCATAAAAGAACTAGATACACAGCTGGGTCCAAAATTATTATTAAAAAAAATATATATATCAAAAAATTGAAGATATATATTATACTAACACAATTGATCAGAGAAATACATTTCGTTTAACAATTAATACAAAAATCTAAAAAAATACAGTTTTCAATCCTCCAGCATCCTCCCCTTGTGAGGATAACACTGAGCCGTTTTCTAAAATGTTTTATGAGATTAGACCCTTCCTCCATACAGAATCTTTCCAAATCACTGCACTTATGGACTGCCCGCTTCAATTCAAGCCACAGGTTTTCAATTGGGTTCCAGTCCGGAGACTGTAAACAGCATTGGCACTTGGATTTGCTAAACGGCATTGGCACTTGGATTGGAACCGGTGCTTTGGTCAGATGACCTGAAAACAGATCTTTTTGGGCCATGCACACCAGTGGTGGGTTTGGCGTCTAAAAAAATATGCATATTCGGAAAAGAACCCCATCCCTTCTGTAAAATATGACGGTGGATCTTTGATGTTATGGACTATTCTTCTCCTACTGGTCCTGGGACCTTGTTAAGGTCAACGGCATCATGAGCTTTACCCAGTACCGGGACATTTTAACCAAAAACCTCGTCGCCTCTGCCAGCAGGCTGAAACTTGGCTGCAAGTGACTCTTCCAGCAAGACGATAGTCCCAAGCGCACGTCAAAATCCACAAAGAAATGGTTAATTGACCACAAAAATCACAATAAGGGTGGCAGGTAGCCTAGCGGTTAAGGGCATTGAGAAAGTAACCAAAAAGGTTGCTGGTTCGAACCCCCGAGCTGACTAGGTGAATAATCAGTGAATGTGCCCTTGAGCAAGGCACTTAACCTTAATTGCTCCTGTAAGTCGCTCTGGATAAGAGCATCTGCTAAATGACAAATGTAGAAATGTAAAAAAAAAAATCAACATTTTGCTATGGAATTAAAGAGGGCAGTCCAAAAGTGCAGACGAAGGATATCAAGGATCTGTAAAGATTCGGTACGGAGGAATGGTCTAAGATCCCTCCCAATGTGTTGTCCAAAAAAGGTTCGGTGTTGTTATCCTCGCAAGGGGAGGGTGCTAGAGTATTGAAAACAGGATAGGGGGTGCTAGAGTATTGAAAACAGGATAGGGGGTGCTAGAGTATTGAATACAGGATAGGGGGTGCTAGAGTATTGAATACAGGATAGGGGGTGCTAGAGTATTGAATACAGGATAGGGGGTGCTAGAGTATTGAAAACAGAGAATCCAATCATTTTGACCCCTATCTTTTTTTTGTTGATATTGATACTGTTAAACAAAATCAATTGTATTAGTATTATTTATTTATTTTTTAGCATACAATAGACACTATATATACAAAAGTATGTGGACACCCCTTCAGATTAGTGGATTCGGCTATTTCAGCCACACCTGTTGCTGACAGGTGTATAAAATTGAGCACACCGCCATGCAATCTCCATAGACAAACATTGGCAGTAGAATGGCCTTAATGAAGAGCTCAGTGACTTCCAACGTGGCAACTTCATAGGATGCCACCTTTCCAACAAGTCAGTTCGTCAAATTCGTCGAATAATGGTCTGGGGCTGTTTTTCATGGTTCGGGCTAGGCCTCTTAGTTCCAGTGAAGGGAAATCTTAACGCTACAGCATACAATGACATTCTAGACGATTCTGTACTTCCAACTTTGTGGCAACAGTTTGGGCAAGGCCCGTTCCTGTTTCAGCATGACAATGCCCCCGTGCACAAAGCGAGGTCCATACAGAAATGGTTTGTTGAGATCAGTGTGGAAGAACTTGACTGGCCTGCACAGAGCCCTGACCTCAACCCCATCGAACACCTTTGGGATGAATTGGAACGCAGACTGCGAGCCAGGCCTAATCGCCCAATATCAGTGACCGACCTCACTAATTCTCTTGTGGCTTAATGTTCGACGAGCAGGTGTCCACATACTTTCTCATTGAGATAAAATCTATTTTTCAAGAGACCTGGTCCAACAGCAGCAGTGGGAACAAAGTTTCAGACAAAACAACTTGCATACACTAACACAACTTTGAACAAAACTATAGTCACACACAGTACAACAATTACATATTACGTTAAGAAACACAAATGTCATAACTTTAAAAAACTGCTGTCCTAAAGACAATTACACTCTATGATATTTACATCGACCAAGTGTTTAAACTCCACCAAATGTAAGATCATCACATTTTAAAATGTTCAGGAGACAATTCCAGGACCACG